ATTTTCTTTGCGCTAAAAAATAACTTTTTGTGAATTGAAAACAAAAATTTTCATACATTTTCCAGTCATGTATCGTCTCTTTATTTTATTAAATATGAACGTTAAATGTATTCACTAGTTTTTATTAGCTATTTCTCTCTCTCTCTCTCTCTCTCTCTCTCTCAAGTTATGTGTTTATATTTGGTATTCATTAATAAGTAGAGGAATGTTATAAAAAGCAATGAAAATAAGGTCTACGAGAATATCGCGCTATTGCTGTGGATCTGTACATAACATCTCATTCCTATTACACGGGAATGTAATTCCTATTCAAAGCAATAATTTTTTGTTTTCAAACTAATATTTTTTCGTTTCGTTTTTATTTTTATAAAAAATTATTTTCTAAAAACTAGAGCTCAAACTCAAAGAAAGGTTTGTTTCTTATTTAATAAAAATATTATTATTACTAATGAAATGTGTGTTATTTAAAAACGTAAAACACAATTCAATTCATAGACATGTTTCTAATGAATGTGTATTTGTATTATATTTTGTGATGAATTGCGTTTAGAAATATTGTTAAAAATTTAAATGCATTTTGAAAAATATATAATTTATTTCTTCATTTTGTGAAAATAAAAATAACTTTTTTCTTATTTTTCTTTCTATGAGTTATTTAAATATATAAAAGACATTCTTGTTATGAAAAATGAAATTTTGAAATCAAATATAAAGGCATTAAATAGATTTTAAATTTGTTTTTATAATTAATTTTCACATAACTTAATAAATCACTAAAACATAAATGTTATTTTACTATTTTATATAACAATCACTTTTAAAAATCACCATTATAAAACATTTTAATTAATAAAATGTCATGATTAAAATGAATTATTAAAATAAATCAAAATTATAAAAACTATAAGTTATAACATATAAAAGCATAACAATAAAAATAATTTAATCAAAATTCAGGTATTTTTGTATTAATTGTAAAGAGAGTGTAAAAATCATGAACTAATCATTACTCTCGTGTAAATTGTCATTGAATTGCAAACTAAACCTAATCGTCAATCAACTCATTGGCCACTAATTCCTTATAATATCTTCGCTCGACTTTACCGACAGTCGTCCGACGGATGTCATCGACAAACACAACCCCAGCTCTGAGTTGTTTGCTATCACTTAATGAGTCTTTAGAGTTGTTTTTGGGATTAAATTGAATAAAACATAAGAAATGGTAAAAACTCAACAAATGATTAAATCAAAACCTGCGACAAATCGTTTTAATTCCTCTTCGGTAACCGACTTGTGTTCCCGCAGTCGGACGTAAGCGCGCGGCCATTGAGTGTCTGTGCGATGGCCGACACCGACCACCACAGCCTCGGCCACGGCTTCGTGTGTCAGTAAGAACTGTTCCAATTCTGTGGGCGACACCTGTTTAGTGCCGTATTTGATCAGCTCTTTCAGCCGATCAGTGATGAAGAAGCGGTGCCTCGAGTCGTAGTGTCCGATATCACCCGTGCGGAGCCACCCGTGATCGTCGATGGCCTCATTGGTGGCCAAAACGTTGTTCAGATAACCGGAGAACAGTTTGGGTCCGCGAACGCAGAGTTCGCCGTCTAAGTCAGGCCCTAAACTGTTGCCTTTACTGTCGATTACTTTCATATCGGTGTTATCAGACGGTCGGCCAACACATCCCGGTATGTATTCTCCATCGGGAGACGTTAGGCCACAGTATTCTGTCATTCCGTACACTATATGAAACAAAATTGAATGAAAATTGTATTAAAAGTTATATAAATGTATTCAATCGATACCTTCAACTACAGAGACCTTATGTTTTTGCATTATATCTTTGGCCACATTTGCGGCAAAGGCAGCGCCGGTAACCATCAGAGCCTTCAGACTCGAGAGATCGTATTCGTCACACATTTCGTTAAGAAGTTTGTGACCAAACGCGGGAACCATTCCCATAAAATTCACGCCATAGTCTTGAATGGCTTTAAAAATCATTCAATCGTCTCTCTCGTCGGCAATCACTTGACTGACAGCACAAGTGGCGTAACCAAAGAGTACGGCCACACCAGACATACAACTAAATTGAGTCATTTGGTAACCCACCAGAGGTGACGTCCGGTTATTACCGCCGCTTTCGTCGTTCATATCGGGCTTAATAAAGGCCATGAGTGCGGCCACAAACGCCGTGTGCGATATCATCACCGACTTTGGCGCTCCCGTTGTGCCCGAACTTTGCAACAAAATGCAAATGTCTTTCTTGGGTTTGACGGCAAAGTAAGGAATAGTGTCCAGAATCTGGTTCTGTCCCTCAGACAGGAGAGACCTGAACGGCACGTATACGTTATGGTTGTCGTCCAAAACGGCCACAAATCTGACCGTTTGTCTGTCAGACCTTTTGCTCAAAATTGTTTCTATAATCTTCGCCTTAGCCTTCGTTGTGAATATAAATAATGGCCCCAATGTGTCCATCAGTTGATCCAATTCGTAGACTCTGGCGATCGGTGTAATCGGGTATAGAGTTATGCCTAAATATATGGCCGCAAACATCACGATAACTAATTCGGTACTGTTTTCAGCGAATGTCAATACAGTGTCCGATTTGGTGATCCCTCTGGCGATCAACGCGTTGGCCACTGAATGGCATTTCGTTATCAACTCTTCAGCTGTCAAATGAGAGCCATCGATGGCATTCATCTGCGATTAAATGATCAATCGTTAGACATATGATTAAAAATGGCAATATTTTCAGTATTGCATCATTTATTGCATTAAAAATCTGTATTCAAACTCACAAAACATCTGTGTTGGGGGTCGAGTCGGGCCATACTTCTAGACACATACGCGGCCACCGATATGTCGGGTATTTCGTAGCGTCGTTTCGGCGACCTTACGATGTAATCGTCGGACATATTGTTTAACTAATTAATGACTGAATTAAACACAGTCTTAATGGCAGTGAAAACTGAGAGCAGAGCAAAAAATACTATTTTTGATAACCAATTTCACACATAATTAATACCAAATGTTTAGTTTTTATTGTATGGTTTGTGTGGTGTTTATCGCAAACCATAATTAATCAATTCATTCATTCAATTAAGCAAAAAATAATACACTTTTTAAACGAAAAAATTACATTTTGAATGAATTGATTAGATTAAAAATAATAGGCTTCTGATAATAACCCTGAAGGTTGTTATTCCTCTCTCTCTCTCTCCCTCTTCGAGACCAAAGTTTTTTCACATCAATTAATAATTGTTTTCCCTAACAATACAATAAAATGTAATTAGACTTTAATTTACAAACAAATACAACACAATCTGTTCAAATACATTGAATTTAAAAAGTTTTGCCTAAAATATGATTGAATAGTAGACACACTATGTTTGCGATGATAATTATTGGTACGATTAAAACACTTGGTATACAATAATTCAATTAATTACTAAATTTTAATACTATTTAAAACATTGTACCGTATATAAATTATGTGTAAAACAAATTAAAAAATCATTCACAATTTCATTGACTTAATTTAATACCAAATTTATTTGATATTTCATAATATACTAAAAATATTAGAAATAAATTACAACAGAATCCGACGATTTATAAATCAATTGCAAATTAATTATATTATCAAAAAAGTCAATCACTAATCAATTGATTGGTATTAAATGATGCGATCGATGGTAGGCATCGCGAAATAGCCGTCAAATTTCATGTTCCGGTTGTGAATCATTGTATTGCGGAAGTCGTTTGAAGTGCAAGAGTCGCCTAACATCTCGTCCAACAGTTTGGTTGTGTTGAGGAAGGCATCCATACTCACAGCGATGGCCGTCTCTTTGTCGATATCGCTGTTCCGGACGCCCGTAACCATTGTGTGCGACGCCCGCGACAACACGGCTGTCACCATATAGATGTCCATCGAGATCGTCGCCAAACGGTTTAACTCCATTTGTTTGTCGATTATGTTCTGCTAAACAGATAATCGTATTTAATATTGTGTGTGTGTGTGTGAGAGAGAGAGAGAGAGAGAGAGAGAGAACTGTTACATACCTAATTCAATTGCATTAACGAACAGATTAACATGGTATTAATATATTATTAACATTGAACAGGTTATTGTTAACTTGTAGATTTTTAGTAAAATTATAATGGATTATACAAAATGCTATTATCAA